GGACAATACATTGTATTACAAAATACACCAAAGCAGAACTTCTGCTCTGCTGTGCTGAACCCCGCTGAGAACCAGTAGAAAAGATCAGAAGTAAGGATATTATTTGCTGCATCAGCAGTCAGTACTGTTCCCAACAGCAATGGAAGCTGTCATATGGTGCAGCCTTGGAGCACTCAGAATCAAAGCCATTGTGTTCTCTTGAACAAGGATTCAGGCAAGGGACAGTGAACTTTGCATCAAAGAAGAAAACAAACAAATAGCCTTAATGAATTTAATAAGAATGAAGTTTCACTTTCTTCAGGTGTGTGAAGAAACAATTGCAAACTACAGACATGGGCAGGAAACAACAAACAAGGCTTTAACAGCAACATCTCCTCATGGAAATCACCCCATCAGTCTTCGGACTGAAGCCAATGGCTTTCATTTTTGTTCTGTTCTTATTTCCATGGACACATCCACATGCAATCATTAGACAAAATACACAAAGCACAGACATGTCCAATTCAAGCCCTTCAGTAAAACACCTCTACATACTGACAAGTGCAAGTGTATTGCCATGTGAAAGACTAGAAATATTTATATAGATGTGGACCACATCTTCCTTTTAGCAGCTGAATCTCTCAGACTATGCTTGTAAGCATTTTTCACCACTAATGCCAGATCATTGCTTGACTTCCTTGAAGAAAAACTAATTAAAAGGAAGCCTAAAAAAATCAAGAATATAACAAACTAAATGAGGATGGTGTTGGAAATTAAAGATGCGCAGGGACTTGTTTTGGAGGTACACAGGGATTTGCACTGCAGTGTACCTCTATTCATATGTAGCACTGGATTAAGCCTAACTTGACTTATGACCAATTGAATCCTGAGTGACTATGCCTACCTGGGTTTCAACAGCTGAATTTATCTATCTTAAATGCACATATTCAAATGATATGGATTTCTTAGCTGACTGCTCTAATCCCAAGGAAGAAGTTATTGCACAAAAATAAGTAGTACACTCAAAGTAATGATTTTTTAATAGCAGAATAGTCATCAGCAAAATAAGAAAATATCAGTTACATATAAAGTAAGAAATACCAGTAAAAACTTTGTCATATTGTATTTTGTCTGGGTTAAAAAACGCAGTTAGCTCCTACTGGCTGCAGGGCAGTTTTATGCTTTCAGGGCTAGCAAACACAACTGTTAGCAAAATTTCTTTTTGTGATGCTTGGGAATTTCAGTCAAATAGAAGTTTTTAGTCTTTATTTATCAGAATAACACCATGTTCAGGAAAGGGAGGGAGCCAGGCCCAGCACTGGTTACTTCACAGATCGATGGAAGCAACCAGTAGTACAAAGTTCAGGTAAGCATTAAAACCACGTATAATAAAGGCATGGAGGACTTGCAAAATATAACACTTCCTGAATTAGTGCTAATTTTCATTCAATTTTTAGTGACTATACACAGGCAAAGGGACTTTTCTGCAGTTTGTCTCTCATAGTGACATTTAAATGAAGCTAGTAAGTGGCAAAATCCTTATTTCCTCACAATTTCCATACAATAAAGGACAATTATACATGGGTAATATCAGTGCAAATAAGAAATGCATGTATGGATAAAACTGACTCCAAAGCAGCCCCGAGTTGCTGGCAGTTCCTGACAAGCCAAGTGTATAAATAAAGGTAATGTCCTCTCAGCATGTAGAGCAGTTTACAAGCTAAACATCTGCATTACTGAATGTAATGCAGAGGCTGCAAGAAATTCAACTACTGTTTTGCATTGTTAATATCTCAACCAGATAAGGTTGTAAGGATAAGGTTGAAAGGAACAAGTCAGGTAAGTACCTTTTTATCCAGGTACATAAAGACACCAGGATAATGCTGTTTTCCCTCTTGGCGACTGAAGCCATTTTATTTCCTGTATAGCAGTTATTTGACACACACTTGCCACAGACATTACAGTGGAGTAGTACTTTCAGCCATCCTTCTGTTTTAAGTAAAAGGCAGATTTTATGACAATGCAATGTGACACCACCTCTGTCTCAGTCACACTGCATTTATTCAGTGATACGATGACTACCACCTCTTCATGTTCCCAGGAGAGAATGGGACAAAAACTTTCAGCCACACAGCATTTCAGTTAGTTTCTCTGCTTTTATTAACAAGCATATAATATTCATTGGCAAAACACTGGATACAAGCTTCACTATCATAAAATCAAAACATTAAGCATTAATCCCCAAAAGGCTTATTCAGACAAAACTAGCCACCAGTAGTACAGAAATTACACAGCAACACAAAGCATAAAAAATTGTAAACTTTTGAATGAAGCTAAGCCAAAAATATGGTTTTACACTCTGACAGTTCGAGAATCTTTATTATGCCACGTATGAGGATAAAAGGCTTAGTGGTTGCACTGGCTAATTGTCCCTTAACTACAAAATGATCCTGTTTGCAGAAGGAAAGAACAAACTTTCCTTTTGTTCAGATAAGTCACTTGAATTAAAGAACCTATCAAACCAATACCTTCCATTTCAAACAGAAATAACAGAATAAAAAAATAGTTGAATATCAGTACTCAAAACTCAGGAGTTCTTCCTTAAGCCATACCTCTGTTTGAATGAATGATCCCACTGGTTTCTGTGGAACCATCCAGGTTATTAGCAAAGTTACCAATGTAAATGTTCATAGAATTGGACATTTAGTTCCTACCCTACCACCAGGACATGGACAGGTCATTGTGGTTTCAAAAGACCTCCAAAATATTCTGAGTAGGATAAAATTTGGAACAAATAGTAGAGTCATACCTTTAATTTGTATACAAACAAACAGGTAAAACATTAGCTGTTGACTTGCCACAAGACTCAAGTTCCTAGGTAATTTTTGTCCCGACTGCAAGTGTTGATGACAGCAGAGATTGAAGCATTGTTCCATGTTCTTTAGTGTTCTCTGCAGCTTTTTCTTCAAAAATAGATCTCAAGACCCAAGTAACATCTAATTGTATCTTATGTAAGGAGACTTGTGGGTGGAACAAGTTCTGTTACCAACTTTAGGCATTAATGTTTTCAGTAAAACATCCAAACCGAAGTGATTACCTGAGGAAAAGTAGAAACTTGATTTTTCTGTTCAGTAAAGCCTTCTGTACAGAATGTGTACCTAAGTTTCATCTCACTGATGTACAGACGGTTGGCTTTTTCCTATTATATTTATCTCAATGTAATATGCAGAATGCTGTAAAATAGCAAGTTATATTTATCATCTAGTAGAAAAAAAAAAAAATCTGTAAATCCCCTAGGACTGTGTTGTTATAAAGACAATAAGAGCCAGATAAGCTTTCAAAGGCTCATAGCCTATTGGAAAAAATAGCACCATCTTCGCTGTAGTCTGATATTTTTTACGGTCCCATATCTCCTGAGTGACAGTGTTGTGTATACTATTGCACAACCAGTAGAAAAAATATTCCCAGGTGTGATGGTACACAAATATACCAGACCTAACAATGGCACAAAACATTTTCAGATAGGCTGTAAGTCTTGTTGATTGCTTCCACAATTCACATTAAGGTTTCTTGCAAGATCGTTTATTTTAAAATATTGCTGACAGATAGTTCTTGTACTTACAGAAATTTTTAAATCCCCCATTTCACTCATAAAATAAAAAATGGAACAAAGCATAAAACACACATGCCCACCCCCAAATGAGAAAAGCCATCTACATTCCTTTTAAAAGTAATGGTAAGTAGATGCTACATTTACAATTTAAACGTAAGCCTAATTAATGCATGTTTCCAACCTATTGCACAAAAGCATAAGTAATGCTCTTTATCCATACAAAACAAAAACATACAAATGAAAGCTACTCAAACTCAATGTAAAAGGAAGAAGCTCATAAAAACATCTTACAATTTCAATTTATATGCCCGTAAATAAAGCTGGACCACTAAAACCAAAAATACTTGGATGGTAAAATAAGACAGAAGGCTTAAAATAGAATAAATAATTTTATAAAGTTAAAATTTAAACCCCCAAATCTTATTTAAATTCAATATTATATATTCTATCTGAATTCTTTATTTTTAATGAAAGTATACTTAATGAGACTCTAAGCCCAGGTGATTCATCAGTCTCACTGCTGCTGAGGATAATGCAACAAGATACTTCCTTACTGCAACTATTTACCAGCGTCAGTAATTGTAAAAACTACTTCACAGTAATGGCATCTTCACAAAAGCCAAAATCAACTACCATGACCTCATCAGGACTAAGAAATATCTATGGCCAAGTCCAAATTTCTGTCCAATTTTCAACAGTATCAGGGTTACTTTACCCAATATAATCTTTATATAAATTGTCTCTTAAGTGTCACAGAAATTAAACAAGGCTCTGACCCAAAGAAGACCTTGCTCTACACTGTAGTCTTTTAGTGAGACTAACATATGGTACAGACACAGTCACACCACTCCTGAAGGCAATTTTTGTAGTGAAGATGTTATCACATGTGATTTAGAAAAACAACTGAGTAACTTTGGGGTTTTTTGTTGGTTTGGGGGTTTTTTGTTGTTTGGTTTTATTTTTTTTTCTGTTTTTTTTTTTTTTATCAGATTAAACACATTGCAAAAGCAGTTACACACAATTACAAGCAAAACCCCAGCTATAGGTATTAATACTGGCAGAGTTTTCTATATACTGATAGCACCATAACAAATTCAAGTGATCCTAAAGATGGTTATAAACTTATATGTTTTGTATTGTAAGTTGTTCCAGCAAGAGATAGATTTGAAAGGCTTCTGAATTTGTGTTTGTAATTAATTTCTCAGTTGCTCAAGTACACAAGGAAGAAATTAAATCCCGATGTACTTTAACAGCACTGCGTCAATATCTAGTCATACAAAAGTTTTCTGCAGTACACACACTTGAGGTAGACAGATCTCATTTATATGTGTATATGTATATATATTTTTGTTTGTGTGTGTATGTATATATATATATATTCTGATTAAGGTGGTTAATCAGAATGCTGTCTGGCAGCTTTAGTTTAATGTCTACATCAGGTACAGCCACGGCGTGTATACTCTGGGTGCACAGCGCTGGGACCCTTACAGTCCTGTCCACATTCTCAGGGCCTCAGTGGCAAAGCCAGTCTCTTATTTACACTAGAACAGCAACAATCACGTAAGAAACAGCTCCAGAGAGGCCCAGTATGTCAGCTTGTGTACACATCTATACCACCTGCATTGACTGCTTTCATGGAAAGTTTTAAACATGGTAGACACGTGATCTTGTTTGTTCTTTTCTGCCAGATCAAGTAATGCTAAAGACAGAAAAAAGAGCTGAAAATACAGAAACAGCAAGACAGAATCAGAGCCAGATTTGATTCCATGAATCACAGACATGCACACAAATACCCAGATGTGGAGTTCTGCGTAACCTAAACATTCAAATGCAGTTATCTTAGACTTTCACCCACAAGGACAGCAGCATGTTCTAGCCTTTGTGTGGCTCTCCTTTCCATCTCTGCAATTTAGGAGGCTCCCTTTCATTCTCTGCTTACATTTTTTTTTTTTTTTCATTTTCTTCCTACTCACATCTGTGACTGTAATCAAAAAGGAGCCCTGTTGTCAAAAGTAAGCACAAGCAGCAGCAGAGCTGAGAAAGGAGAACTGAAGACTCCAGAGATAAAATTAAGGGAAATGTGCTGAGAAATGTAGCGCTTTGAAAACTCAAGAGGGAAGAATATTTAAAATGCTTAGATAAATCTCTTGCAGAATCAGCTTCTGGTTACCAAGTATCACTTTCTAGCAGAAGAAGCAAAGGAGCACAGCAAGAGGAAGCAGGGCTTCTTATCCTAAGACAATTTATCAAAAAATAATAGGGTTTAATAATATGAATAGCAACTAGCATTTTCAGCTGACAGGAAAACTCTCCCAAAAATAAGGTTATCTATTTCCAGCTGGCAATAATAGGGCATACACTGTTTTCAGTGACTTCACACCTGCGCCAGACAAATGTTCTTACAATTGTACTATGGATGATACATGGTGGATATAGCTTGCAGAAATCACTTTCAACTACATTTTTTTAAAAGTCAATTGTTTCCAAAAGTCTTACAAAAAAGTGCAGTGAGCCCTGCTAAGTGCCATTGAGGGTGCTTTCTATAACATACATAGTTACATGTGTATATAGATGTATGTACCCAAACATATATTAATGTGTATTACCTTGCATCCATTAGGGCTGACGCAAGCAAAATTACTAGTTAAGGCCAAAAGGTGCTAAAATAATCTTGTCTTGACTCTCCCTTCCTCCCCACCCCATGTAAGCTACGAATTGCATTAAGGAAAGTGCTATGGTTTCATAAGAAAACAGCCAAAGAAATTTAAAGCTGCCTGAAAGTTTTAATCAGTGAAATGAAAAATCTGCAATACTCCCAAAGTTGTCCAAGAGCCACCGTTTCAATAGCTAGTGATAGCAAATTCTCTCTAAATTAAAAACTGATTTCTGCAAGCCACAAATACATAAGAAATGTTTATTTTTTAAGAAATTCACAAATCTAGCACTTGTGAGTATTTGTCATTACGTGGTGCAATTCATACCATAGCAAAATATATATCACAGCACATTAAAATCAACTGAAATTATTTCTATTTGTCTTACCAAATTAACATGTACACAGAAGTATCAAAACTTTATTAAAACACAAGGTGAGGAGAGCAATAACTGGGCAAAAATGACAAATTTACCAGTTTCCCAGATTTTCTTAAGTTTTCAATGCAGCATAATAAATTATCACCAGTCACTGTATTATCAGGTATGTTCAATGCTCTACAGAATAACTTCAATAAAGCCAATGCAATCAGGCATACTATATAAGACAATAACACTTTGCAAAAATATAGTTTTTAAAGATTTAGAATGCAAGAAGTAACTAAATGCAACTTGGTCTCAAAAGCAACACATTTATATCACCCCACAACACTCAAACTTTTTTTTCTGTGTGTAACTGTAAGAGACAAATCAGGCTGAGCTACATGGAACTGTGAAGTGTTTTCAGTATCTGTAAACTTAATGCTGGTAGTGTCTTGCTGAGTTGAAACTTCTTTCTTCCGTACAAAAAAAGTATAAATATTGTCTGCCCAGAAGTCTAGGTAACACATCCCTAGAAGAAATATTCAGGACAGCCCACTATGAAAGCCCTCCAGTCTTCCAAAATTATTCAGCTGGTTTGTGTCATGTGATTAGTGATGCACTAAGAAGGTGCCAGATGATAGTCTCTGCAAAAAGCTCTGTCCAGAAGGACAGTAAAGTTCCCTTACAGCAAGTCCATTTTGGGTCTATAATGTAGCAGTAGAGGTGCTTTCTGCAAGACAGAAATACCAGTAAGTTAAGAAACAAATCCAGAACTAATCTGTTCAGCAGGAAAAGCTGTGTCATAAACTAAAGCTTCAATTAAAGGCAAGAGCACTATCTGATCAGTAAAAAAAATCACCAAGACAAATTAAAGGTACAACTTCATCTGTGGGACTCAAACAAGTGATAAAGAACCCTTTCCCCTTTATCTCAGGAGCAGATCTGTCTATCTTTGAAAACTCCCTAAGTAAGGGATGTCTAGAAAGCAACATTGAAGTATGTAGTACTTCACATTTAATAGCTCTCACTTATTCCTCTTCTGTGAAAGCATCTGTTGATTTTTTTTACAAATAGACAAACTTCAACAACCACAAGAGCCTGCACCATGGACTTCTGTGTCTCATAAAAACAATTACTTCAGCTTGTTTGTTCTGGACCTTCCTTGCCTCAGTTCCATTTTACATCCACCACCTCTTTCACTTAGGAAGGCAGTTTACAATTCTGCTTTCCACATGACTCACAATTACACAGATCTCTCACAGGTGAAGAGTAGACTGTACAGATGCACATCAGTTTGATGCTCTCTGTGACACCACAAAACCCTAACGTTTGCATTTTATCTACACCTACATTTAACTTCAGGTGTCTGTCACTCAGAACTGTAAAGACTTAATCTAATACTTTATCATCAATCTGTCATTAACTTAATTAATGACAATGATGTCACTGCACTGGTAATGAACTACTCAGATCCATTTCCAGGTCATTCAGAAACACCATATGAAACAGATTCCAGCAGGATTTCACATGTGACATCTCTGCATTTTTAACATACATTGACTTTACCCTGTGACTCTTACACATGCCAATTATTTTGTAATTCCAAAATAGAAAAATACTTTACTCCCACATGGACCTCTTCTAGATATGCATCCAAAGCCACTGAGCGATTTCACCTCAGTGTACACTGTATGCTTAGAATATGTTGCTTTTGCATTACAAATACAAACTTCTAGTTCCAATAACTCCAGGTATACATATACTGATTCTGTACAGCGTTGACTTCCCTCCTAAGTGTTCAGTTCTGCTGCTCATTCTTACTGCCTGAAAGGGTTAAAATTAATACATTTTGTAGCTTCTACTTCCTCTGACAGACTTGATAACAATTTGACAGCTAATGCAGTGTTTTCTTGCAACAAATACTTAATTCTCCTTTCCCTAATTTACTAGAAAGAAATAAATACTTGGTGCCCAAGGATATTGTAGTAAATATTACTAAAAGTACCTTCTATAAATGTACACTGCAGTATAGTTCCAAATTATTGCTATTTTGTAAGAATTTTATTTGTCCACTTCATGATTTACATTGAATCACTGTGTCATACCTTAAATCTCCATCTAGTAACAACTACAAACTTGAGCGTATGGTCCTTGCCAAGAATCTCTTCATTGCATAATATGTCCAGCTGACAAAATAAAGGTGACAGTTAATTCACTGGGACCAAACAGCATATTTCACATAATACTACACATTTGACAAGACTTTTTTCTTTGAAGATACTGAACTGGTAATCCTGAAGTTGGCCTGCAGACAAAAAATCATACCAGGAATGAAGATAATATCTGTTCTCAACATACAGAACTGAAAGACCATGTCAATGCCTGCCTAAGAAATATAGTATGATATGGATTTAATGTTTATCTTCACAAGTAGTACTAAGGTCCTTTGCTGAAATCTTTACAATCTTTTGATAAGGTTGAATACATGAACAAGGGGACAGAAATGTCAAAGAGAGCTGTTATATAGCATACTATGAATTTTTTTTTAGCTAACACCAGTCAGATAGCATTGTTACAAGGACAGACTTTTATTAAAAAACACTGTCTGCCATATACTTATATGCTATATTTACAGGGGTTTTACAGATACTCAACAAGTATTTTTTGTTTTCTATCTCCACTTTAAAGAATCTTTATATTAGAAACAGGGAAGACCTCAACATAAAAGGAGGATCATATCACTACTAATCAGCTCAACTACAATATCTGAACATGATAAAACCAGGGAACGTGTATGAAAACAGCAAGTTCCACCAAGTTGGCTTGTGTTACTATGCTTTACTCCATAGCTCAGAAAGGCCTGAATGTGTATGCAGTCTACTTACATGGCAGTAACTCAAACCTGGAATAGTCTGTATCAAGCAACCAAGTAACCACAAGTTCAAATTCTCCTTCTATGTTACTTGGTACTGGTACAACAATTACACTTTTTAAGAAGGCAGAAAGGGTTAACAAAGAAATAAACAGTACTCCAGAAAAGTTCAATAGAAACTAAGTAGATTTTTAACTCACATCTTGGCACACTGCATTGGAGGGCTTACACATGCATATACCAAAAGAATATATTTTAAAAACCCTTTTGAAACATTCCTTGTAGCTATGCAGCTGCTGGGCTAAAGCCAGGAGTCAGCCACCTCTGAGCTAGCTGATGACAAGACAGGACACATGGTTTTGTTTCAGGAAGACTGGCAGAGTTTGGGGATATAAGATAAGATATATATATATATACATATCTTATAAGATATAAGATAAAGAGAGTGTTAGTTTGAAACGTACAGAAGCTATGAAGGAAAAGTGATAGAGATGCAAATTGGCTGTTGACAAGTTTGAGCAGCAAGGTGTTGACACACTGGTCTAGCAAGCAGATGATTTGATTTGAATGAAATGTCTTAATAAAATTCAGTGAATCAGTGTCATAATATAGAATTCAGAGATGTCAAGATGCGAGTCAACAGAGATGTCCAGAAACTGTTACCAAGATCCAGCCAAGTGATAAACAGGGGTTACATTCATAGTTTGCCACTTTAAATTTTTGAATCTGGTCTAGGAGAAGTTCAAAGTATTTGAACTTTCTTTCCTACTGTACCTTTCAACTTAAATTATTCCCATGATACCCTGCAAAGACTCTGGTTGTGGTAGGCAGCAACTTCAGACTGAGCTTCACTAAGAGCACAGGAAAGAACAATGTATTTGTGGTGCTTTCTCTTCAACTACGCTTCAGTGCTGAAGTGCTGGCTTCTGTCTGGCCCCTGTAGAGTGCAAATGCTGGGGTTAAACTCAACTACAATCTACCAAACATGTCATCTTGCCAGAGTCCATTTTAACACATGTGGAAGCACACAACCAAGCCTTTTTTGCTCAACTATCTATAAATGCACTTGAAAATATGCACTACAAACTAAGTGGAAAGTCCTGTACAGACCCAAGAAAGGACAAGAAAATCGGCATATAACATATAATTCAAGAAACAGTGTATGCTTCTGTTTTCTGAAAATAAAATCAGAATGAAAAGACATCCTTTTGCAAAGGAACAAGCTCATCCCTTTCAAGTTTTCATATCTGTAAGCTTATTTTTTAAAATTCAAATATTACCTCATTAAAAGAAGAAAGGTTGAGTTTTTTGGCAATGAACTTCTTTAGATGCAAGACTGTTGCTTGTGCGGAGCAACGAATCCATTTTCGTTTCAATCCACGCAGTTTGCTGCTATTGCACTCCAAGCAGATGCTTACCTTCAGGAACAGGCAAAAAAATCAAGTGTTGGCTGCAATAATTGTCTGCGGTCCCCATTATGTACTCCACATGCAATTTTTATTAATCCAATACAGTGAATTACAGTACTAGTGTTCTTTAAACTGAAATGCCTAGTAAGAAAACAACGTTTTCTAAGATTTCGTAAGCTGAGTGGTAAGTAATAAGACAAAAATGTTCAAGTAGTAATTTTTGATGTTGGAACAATGCTGCTTCAGTCAAAATTCATAGGTTGTCAATATCTTAAGAGGACCATATGTTAAAAGCTAGAGCAAGAAAATAATAAGAAAACCATTTTCAATTCTTAATGATTGCTTCTAACTTAATTTCTTGCAGTTAATGCAAATGCTAATCTAGTTTAATTTTAGCATGTTTAAAAAGAATGAATACAGATGATATGGCAAATATTTCAAATTCTCACTTCTTTTCCCATCCAGCTACTCATTACAGTCTAAACTTTTTGTGATGGTTTGCTTATATTGCATTAGGAGGATCTACTACCAAGTACAATCCCTTTGAAAGTTCTCTTACGTGGCAACTGAGAAGAAAATTAACCCAAGCTAAAGTTACTCTGGACACACATAACCAGAAAACATAAAAGGCATGGCTTGTTTATACAAAAGGGAGTTCAAACAAGCTTTGTGTTTAGAACTTAACAATGGGGTTCCCTGCTTTTATGATATTTTTATGATACAGGGCCAATACTGGCTTCGTATTAAAGGCTGAAAACAAAATATATAATAAGTTAGTAAGAGTGCTGTTAAGGAAAGCTGTCTGACCATCCAGGAGCCACTCTGGCTGTCACATTCACATCACCTAAGCTGGGACTGAAGCCCTTTCACTGCTACACCCCTCACACTCACATTCAGACCAGGACTCCTTACCAGCTCAACCCCAGGTTTCCCACAGCAGATTCTCAGACACCCAGGTCCTTCAAATAGCTTAATCATGGTGCAGTAAGTAAATAACAACAGCTCCAGCTGGTGCCTCTGAGAAGGGGCCCTGAACAAAGGAACCCCTGGGCTTTCGTACCCTCACAGCACCAAAACCTGGGGGTCTCAGCTCCTGCTGTGCCTCAGTGTCCAGTCCCCAGCCTGCTGCCACAGCTCCCTGTGCCCTTTCCTGTACCAAGGGCTGGCAGTTCATGGCCTCTGGCTCCCACCCAGACTCAGCCTGCAGCTCCCACTGCAGCTGCACCCTGAGCTACCTGCACTGAATGTGTTAACAGTGCCAGAGGTTTAATTCATAATTATCCATATAATGTATCATGGTGACACTAGGGTACACTCCTGTAGAAGGTAGAAAATTACACAAATTTGTTTTGACAGCAAACTTTGAAGACTCATAAACAGTCAGAACTATAAAAAAATTTGCATGAAGATTTGAACATATTCTCTATTCCTGTCAAAACCCAAAGGTAAAACCTTATGCTTACAGAAAAGCATTGCCCAAACAGCATTGTGTTTGTATCAGAGAACAGAAAAAGTAACTTGAAAGAAGCTTATTTTCTTCTCTGTTAGATAATCAAAGTTACCTTACCAAAACCCAACAGCTAAAACACAAGATAAAACTAGAGCATGCCCTATGAGCCCACCTGTTCATCACTTCGGTGGTAGTCATTATCTTCTTCCTGTTTTTCCTCCGAAGTTTCTTTATTTATATTTTCATCTGCTTTAGTTTCACCTTAGATAAAAAAACCCAGATATATGGGATACATATATATTATCTTCATATATAAACCCCAGATATACTCAGCAGCAGCTTACCGTGCTAATACAATTAAAACAGCACAATTCAGGACCACAGTATAGAAAAAGCTTTGCTATTCCCAAATTGTCCTTATTGGCTCAAGCAACACTTACAGGCAACAGCCCATAACATGAAAGAGGAGAACACCTACGGAGTTCAGCTGCTAGCAGCCCAGAAGCTGGGTCATTTCACAGTCTCCATGTAGGCACTACTACGGAGACCAACTTTGCCACAAGCAACATGCTATTAACAGCTAAAACCAAAAATTCCACGCACAAATAAGGGACAAGGCAACAATCCTATGCTGCCTCTATTCCTCGCTGTTAGGAAACAATTATGACTGTAATATACCCACTGGGCACAGACTTCCAACAGATCTGTTTATCAATTTACTATATGTCACCCACCAAAGACAGAATAAATAAAGGACTATTTACCATTTCGATGAGAATCTAGGTGCTGTTTTGTAGAGCATGTCTCCCCTTTGATGTCCCCTGGAACTTCCATGCCCAGTTTGTGATAAAACTCCCTCTGCTTTTTCATTTCCGCTGTTTAAAATTGCAAATATTAATCCCTGTAATAAAGTTCTAATGCAATATTTATGAAGTTATTCCAAATCCCTTCCCACTTAAGGATTAGCAACAAGTGGTGGTGGTGTCATTATTTACTGTCCTCTATGTCTCCTACCGCATCAAGTTATGCCTAATCTTATTTTTCAGAATTATAAAAGCATAGAGTTATCTGTATAATTACTACTATATTATTACTGCTAGAATGAGATGGAATTTAAAATACTTATTTTAAATTAGCAGCTAATTTTGAATATTCCCTATTTTGAATATGACCGTATTTCAGTCAAAACATTGCTTTTGAATTTTTATTCATCGTTCTCATTTTCAATATCCCAAAAATATTTTTTAAGTATCTATTTAATCACACTGATGTTTGAAAATGTTCTGGTTAAAAAGCAGCTTCAATAGATTAAACTAGTCCATTTAAATGAAAGTTTTAACATACGTTAAGACAAAAAAAATCCATTGAGTAATATTTATAAAGTATTTCTTTAGTCTAACAGATCTAGCATCAAAGAGGATTATGAAAACAGTAATTGAAAGTTTTCTAATATGAAAGAACTCTCAAAATAGCAGAAACCAAAAGCATTTAAAAATTGCATTTTACCTCTGAGAATTCTAGAAAGCTTGCACAACAGGTATACAGTTTAACAGAAACAAATTAAAGTTATGGTATGGCAACATTCAAAAGCTGAATGATTATTCTGCTTTACATAATACTGCTTTTGGAAGAAACATCCTATGTTGCCTCCCACACCCCCACACTGAGTTGCTGCTAGTACAGGTATGAAATCAAATTAATTGCTAAAAATTATACAAGTAAAAGAGTCTGGTTTTCCATTGTATTTTTTCTCAGTTGCCCCCCTGACTCCTGTTTCATCACTTGAAACTTTTTTTTTTTTTTTAATATCAAAGAAGTATGTACAAACTGACCTTTAAAAAGGTCACACCACAACTTACCTTCTTGGAGGCCTGGCACAAGTTTGTAAACAATATCTTGCATTGTTCTGTCATGGCTAGCAAGGAAAAAACAACAAAAAACCAGTAACAAAATCAAAAGCTTAAGTTCATGATCTTGATTGAAAACACTTCTCTTTAAAAAATTCCAGTACTATCCATATGCAACAATCTCTAAATTCACCTAAGAAGAATTTTACTTCTCAATCAGTATTTCTATCAAACCAGAAACAACAACATAAGAGAAAACATGAAAAAGTACAAGCTAAGACAGAAAACAAATGGAAGTTTGAGAAATACTAGGCTGTAGATGAATTCACCCCACTGAGTATATTCTTCTGCATCAAGACAAGTATGCCAGTAATAATCTAAAATTCTTTTTCAGCTTAGAGACAAACTCATTTTTATTACAGAAGAATCAATAATAGCTTGTTTCTCACTCCTATAGACAAATTTCTCACATTTCTAGATTAGTTATCTTCACTAGGATTCTTCTAAAATGCATGAGACCAATTCACAGAAAAAGACCACAACAACTAAATTTTACTTTGTTTTAAAAGGACAAAGTAACTGTGAGAAACATTATGTAGCTAAGTAGCCTGTAGCAGTAATGTGGCTCAAATGAAAAAAAAGTTAATAATCCCATTGCAAGTAGAACAGTAGGGCCAGTTAAGATTCTAAAATTTAATCCCCAGCTCACCTAGAAAAATTCTGTTCTAGTCTAAATAAGTTATGATCACAAAGAAATTAAATATTACATTAACTTCCTATTAAGAAACAGTGTAAAAAGCATTTCAAGTGTCTGCCTTGACTGCTGCAATGTCATTACCTCGAAAGTGTCTGGAGTATCAAGTCCTGAATCAGACTTGAACAGAAAAGGCTTACAAGAGTAGTCTCAGGCTTCTCATCACCTGACATGAGCACTTCACAGCAGTGGAGATCAGTAGGCAAGTACAGAAATGGTGACAAATCAAGACATTTACAAAGAGTAACTACAATATTCTAAGCAGCACTACAACATGATTCAGAATATTACTTATCCTAAATTCATGTCATTTTCACCAGTAGCAATCCCATTTGTACAGGCTGGGATTATACAGCGTCACATATGGACTGCAAACACATTGCCAAATTTGAACAAAAATAAGTAAGACATCACCATTAAATGAGAGGTGATAATTTGTGGGTTGGAAGTAGATCATACAGATGATCTTTAAGGTCACAAAACTTTAAGATTCTATGATACTATTTAACAGTATTTAGAAATGCAAACAAGGAGACTGACCTATTTGTCAGACAGACAGAGAAGAATAGGAGTTTAAATCTCCATTTTCAAACACCTTGTGAAATTCCAGATCGTCAATTATTTTTTAAAAGAGGTAAATAAATATATCCAAAAGTAGGCTGGACAAAGTCTGTTTCAGTTTCAATGGGGCAACATTTTACAACTAGGTTAAGCAGCTTACTTAAGCTAAAAATGTACTCAACAATAAAAAACAAATTGCATTTTAGCTGTCAATATCATGTTGTTTCCTGGCCCCTTTTTGCACAAAAACCAGGTTTTTGAACCAAGGCAAACATGTTGTCTTACATGTCATTTATTAATTCTTGCCTATTTGAATGTACCTGTCCCTTTAATTATACACTCATACAGAAGTATGAGTGTATTATATAAATGTGGAGACAGCATACTTAGTTTCAGGCTCCTGAATAAGGATGAGCTTGAGGAATATAAGTGTGTATAGAACATTGACAGTTTTCTGTAAAAGTGCAATCAGACTCATTTGCTAAACCATTGCTTCAGATATTGTTACAGAAGTGAGAAAGGCACATTGAAAAATGCAATGAACAAACACAAATTCTTTATAATGGAAGAAAAAACACTACTTGATAGGCAACAGCTAATGCAGACACACCATTATAATGTATTTTCATCAGCAGGAATAAAATTAAAGGAAAGCACTCAAGGAAAAGAAAGATAATGTCTTTTCTGACAAGAAAAGGAGGGAAAAAAAACCCCAAAAAAATCCTTAGTGAACATGCAATTTGACTATGCAAAAATGAGGTGACTGGCAACAGCCAACATGGCTTTAACTATGAGCAAACCGTGTCTGACAAATTTGGTGGTCTTCTATGATGAAGTTACAGAGACAGTGGATGAGGAAAGGTGGAATCATGGCATCTACCTGGACTTGTGCAAAGCATTTTATGCTGTCCTGCACAACATCCTTGTCCCTAACTGGAGACATGGATTTGACTAACGCAGCGCTTGCTGGAGAAGGAATTGGCTCAAAAGAGCTGTGATCACCAGTTCAATGTCCAAGAGGAGACCAGTCACAAGTGCTGTCTCTCAGGGCTCAGTACAGGGACCAACGCTGGTTAACATCTCTGTCAGTGACAGTGGGATTGAGGGCACCCTCAGCAAATCTGCCAGTGACACCAAGCTGAGTGGGGCAGTGACCATGCTGGAAGGAAAGAATGCTTAGGAGGTGGGTCCATGTGAAGCTCAAAGTTCAACAAGGCCAAGTACAAGGTCCTGCACCTGGACTGGGGTGATCCCACGCACAAATGCAGGCTGGGCAGAGAAGTAATTGAGAGCAGCTCTGAGGGGAAGGACTTGGGGCTATTAGCAAATGGAAAAATCAACATGACTTGGCAATGTGCACTTGTACAGAAAGCCAACTGCAACCTGGGCTGCATCAAAAAAGACTCAGCAGCAGATGGAAACAGGTGATTTTGTCCTTCTACTTTGCCTGCAAAAGCCCCCACCTAGACCACTGCTTTCAGCTCTGGGGCCCCCAAATAAGAAGGATGTGGACCTGTTGGAGTTAGTCCAGAGGAGAGCCATGAAAATGATGAGAGGGATGGACCTCCTTCTCTGTGAAGGCAAGCTGACAAAGTTGGAGCTGTAGAGCCTGGAGAAGGAAGATGGCAGGGAACCCTCAGAGCAGCCTTCCAGTACATGCAGGGAACCCAGAAGAAGACTGGAAATAAACTTTTTACACAAGCATGTAGTCATAGGACAAGGGGGAACAGTTTTAAACTAAAAGATGACAGATATAGGTTAGATAATAGGTTGAAATTCTTGAGAGAGAGTGGCAAGGTTGGAAGAGGTTGCCCAGAGAAGTGGTGCACACTCCACCCCCAGAAAGGGGAGGGGTGGAGTGGGGTTCAGTCCAGGCTTCATGGACCTTTGAAAAACCTGGTCGAGGTAAAAGGTGTCCCTGCTCACAGCAGGGTAGTTGGAAATAGATGGTCTCAAAGGGCCCTTCTAACCCAAGCCATTTTATGATGATTCTATGACATTCTTATCTGTTCCTACAACCTAAGCAGACCTTTGAAAGATTAACTAAACAATAAAGCTGAAAATTATTTATCTTACTACTGTCAGACACTGAAAAGCACTGTTCAACTGAGACTAATTTTTGATAATTTTTTAAAAGTATAATTCCTAAAAATGTTTCATATATATAATTTTTACAACCCAAGCATACAAAATGAGGAATGACTATATACCATTAAAAATCACACAGAAATTAAACATTTGAGTGTACAGTTCACTTTATTGTAAGTCTGGAACAAGCTACCATGCTATGGCCTTGCAAACTCATAGCGGAAGTTTCATCCTCTATCTCCCCCCACATCTCCCTCATACTTCTTTTTTCAATGTGTAACATGCTGATAAGCAAGAATGAAAATATTGAGAGAAGCTGTACTGTATCAAGGGGATGAACCAGTCTAGAGTGAAGCTACTTGCAGTTCTGCTTTTATACTTACCCAATATACTGTAATGGGTGGCTCTGATGTATAACAATCCTACAGGTTGGACAGGTGTTGTTTTCCTCCAAATATTTCACTAGGCAGCTTCTACAGACTAGTAAAAAAGACATTAATAAAAATAAAGGTAGCATAATAGAAGTCTGGTTTTACACAGTCATAGAATGCACATTACTGAAATTTACATGACGTTCATTTTTCTACATAATATGTGCACCAAGTCAAATCTTGCAGAATACAGTTTCCAGTACCTTTCATAAATTATCCTGATGAAGGAAATGGATGCACCAGAATTAAAGCATCCACACATATCAAAAACCTTAACACAGAATCCAACACAAAATATCACTTCAAAATTTACTAGAACAATCTCTAGCAGGTCAACATTCAGCTTGCATGGATGACATTACAGGAACTATTTGCCATTAATATAGTAAACAAAACATACTTGCTTTAACCATGGCCACATACAGAACAAGGGTGTGTGATGGCAACACATAAAAAGAATTCCAAAGCAGAAAAATGGATATCTGGGTGTTATTTAAATTCCAACTTTCACAGAGTATACTACAGCTGAAATTCCACCAGAAAAAAAAAAATTACATTGTCACAGACCCTCATTATTAGTAAAAATGTCCTTCCAGAAGCTGCTAAAGTAGTCATTCACTATTAAGCTGCGTGTTTCTATATGCATACACAAAATCAGCCATCTGATTATTTTAAAAGTAAATTATTTATACACCACTCTCCTCTCCTCCCCCAAATCAGTACTCATAAAATACACTACTACATTATATCCTCACTCACTTGAAGTTACATCTTAAAAGGTATGGAGAAAAGAAGGGAGGTTTTCTTGAAGTGACTAGTTCATGTAGTCTTGGTATTAGTGCACTTAACACACAAAATGAAAGGATTTCTGTAACTATAGTGCCATCTACCTCTCAAACAAGAAGACAGTACAATTACATAAACACCCATTGACTAAAAACAGAAGTAACAGTAAATGAAGCACTATAACTCTGCATTATTATTTACATACCTAGGATGACAGCACTATTGGTGGCAAAAGTTAGACAAAGCCTCATCTCGCACAGCAGTTTGTTCCAGCAAAATGCCAGAACAATAGATCCATTTGCAAAAGTGATGCCAGACTCTATTCCTAATGAGTCAATAAAAGCAGAATGTGACAGAGTAAGCAGGGACAGGTATCCTGAAAAGGGTATAGGGATGTTGCTAACTCGGGTAGAGAAGGGTCAGAAAGGCCAAATCACAGCGGAATCTAAACTTGGCAGGGATATGAAGCATTATAAGGGTCAGAGAATGTGTAACCCCCAGATAAACACAATTGGCAAACCAGTAACAATGGACAAGAAGAAGGCTGAGGTATTCAATATTTCTGCCTCAAGTCTTCTCTAGCAATTTCTCTTCCCACAGCTCTTGCATAGATGAAGGAGGCACTAGGGGTGCAAAGTCCCTTCTACTGTGTGAAAAGATCAGACTCATGAACACCTGGGCATGTGAATACATATAAGTCTCTAGGACTTGATGAGATGTTTTCCAGGATCTCAAATTGGCTGATGTAGTTGCCAAGCCACTAACAGCGATAGTCCTGACAGTCAGGTGAAATCCCTGGTGACTAGAAAAAGGGAAACATTGCTTCTACTTTTAGGAAGTGGTAGAAAGGGAGAGAGAGACCTGGAAATCACCAAGCTGTTTGCCTAACTCTGTGTCTGGGAAGATCATGGAGTAGATCTTCCTAGAAGCTGTATTAAGGCACGTAGAGGACAAGGAGGTAACTCTAGACAGCTAGCACAGCTTCACCAAGGAGTCTGAGCAGCTTGATGCAGCTGAAGATACCCCTGCCCATTGCAGGGGTGAAGCATTAGGTGACTTTTATAGGTCCCTTCCAACCCAAACCGTTCTGTGATATCTAAAACATTATCCCATGTTAGTACATACTCCAGCTTGGACTAGGTAAACACTAACTCCTTCTCAAATGAACTGGTCACAAGGTAGCCAATGTTCTGGCAGGTTTCAGTTTGAGCACAGATTGAATACATAAATGCCAAATAAATGAACAAATAAATGCCAAATAAAACCACTAGATGGCTTATGAAGGGTGGTGCAGCCATCTAGGTTATTTTTTTCTGGGATCAGGTTGGGATTATAAACTTTCCTGAAACTAGAAGTCTTTGGAGTAATGGACAGGCAACAAGAAAACGTTCTATGGTATGAAACTATATTATTTCTAGAATTTTCCATTATTTTGGTTTTCCAGCATCTCTAATTTCTGTTTACCCAGATATACAGGCACTGATTGTGGACATGAACTGAGCTGTACATTTTCTGATTTCTTAAACACATCAGAGAGGTTTCATCAGAACAGGAACAGGGAACGCTAAGGCTCACATTTTTATTTTAACAGTTTCACTTCTATTGACTTTTTTCATTCCCATGTCTAGTTCAAATCGACCTTCTATCATTCTGAGGTATTCAGAAGATGATAGGTTTCATGTGAGGTCTTCCCTTTCATAACATAGAAGGACAACTTTCACACTAAACACTAACAAAACTGATATAAACACAAAGTTTAACAAGACCTGCATATATCATCTAGCCTAGAAGTTTAATCAAGGAACAGATACAAAATAAAAAAATACTTAGGACTTTTTTTTAGTTACTACTAATGAAGTTTTTGTCAACTGACTTAGTGGCCTACCTGTCACCAGCAAACTTAAACCACAGCAGAGAAATAAGCAGGAAAGAAAGCGAAAACGCTTTGTTTTCTCCTAAATTCAGTTTTACAAAAATTTGCCCTGTTCCTCCAGAGGACTGGCCTTGGTCCTCCAAATTACTTTCACTAAAGGACTCAAGAACTTAATTTACTACTGAAGAGTCTTTGAATGCCTGAAGATTAGTAAATTAGAGAAAAATTGAAAAGGCAAGAAAAATGTGCAGTTCTGAGTAGAAGAGAATGAAAATTTCAAGGTGGTATAATTTAGAAGAGAATTCACTATCTCAACAGACAGGGTAATTCCATGATGGATTTTGCAAGGATGCTTTTCCAGAAGCATATCTTATTAGCATTCTCTTACACAATACAAACAATGCCAACGCATATGAAGACAGGACTCTGTGCCTCTTCTCACAAAACTAATTCTACAGAGCACAGAGTGAAGTAGTATTCATAAAATATAAACTGTCAAAATAAGGGAGAAGAAAGCCAAAGAAAACCCCAGAAAAAAAAAAGCAGGAAAAGGTAGTAAGGTTCATTTCCTGACTTTTGCAGCAAACGCTGTAGAGCTGTGGATCTACATATTTCTTCCACAAGCAAATATAAGAGATGATGCAGATAATAAGACCTAAGGGGTATTTGTGAGGTTTTGTTTTATTTTTAAAGAACAATAAAAAATTACCTCTCTCTAGCTCTCTGTCAGCTATGTTAACTTGTTATGATACTCATTTTGGATTCACTCTTCTAACTAGCCGCAGTAAAGAAATTTGGGCAAAACTAAGTCTAACTCTGAAAACAATATTACAGAAATTGAGAAATGGAAACAAGAAGGCTCTGAAGAGACCTTAAAGCAGTCTTCCAAAAGTTGAAGGGCACGACAAGAGCTATGGAAATGAACTTTGTACAAGGGCCTGTACTGACAGGACAAGGGGAAATGGCTTCCTCCTGAAGGAATATACATTCAAATTAGATATTAGAAAGAATTTATTTACTCTGAGTGTAACTGGCAAAGAAGCTGTGGACATACCATCACTGGAAGCATTCAAGGCCAGATTATATGGGACATGGAGCAACCTGATCCAGTAGATGCTGACCCTGCCCATGGCCAGGGGATTGAATATAGATTCTAGAACCATTCTGTGATTCTTAGAATCATGGAAGAAACCCTTCTACTATCCTAGATTCTATGAGGATATGTAGAACAACATGAAGTGTGACAAGTGCAACACATTCATCAAGGCTGATAAACTGAGCTTCTAAACGGAATATAATAAAAACCATAATCACTGTAAAATCATAAGCATTGCCCTTTCCCTTTGTCAGATATAAAAGGTGCTAACACTTTTTATTTTATGATAAAGACACAGTCACCAAATTACTGCCTTCCAAGAAAATATAGGACTAAATTATTAAGCTAATTAAACAACCTACTAGCTTTATCAGAATAAACATAAATATTGTGACAGAACAATTTTAAAACATGGGATGGATTGCAAGGTTTTAAGCCATCCTTTGCCTACACAGAAACAGAAATTCACAGAGTAACTTATCAACAGACAACTACTTTTTCACAGTGTTTTGGAATACAATCTTATTTCTAGGATACAATACAACATACTTATTCTTTCTTGATAGACTGCTCTGTTTTCTGCAGAGGAATGGGAGAGAAAGAGACTTCTGAAAGGCTCCAGGTGGAGAACAGATGTTATATCAACTGCCACAGAAGATAGAACTAGGTATTCCACATTCCTGTAGCATGAAGACAGACTGCATTCTTGAATAGTTACATTACCACTAATTGTATATGGCTTCAAGTTTATGTAGCACAGCTTTAATGTTCCCTCCATTTGCTTTGTTAAAAAACCAAATCATCTGTTAAAGAAAAGGGGTCTAGTAAAGCACATTCTTTTTGGCTGATGCACAATAGCTATTTTAAATTTCAACTGAAAACATTACATGTTGCATATCAAGTTTAGGAAAAAAAAAAAAAAACAAAATAAAACCAGAAACAAACAGAAACCAAGACAGCAACTTTAACTTAATTATACTTCTACTTACAAGTATGCAAGCATTCTGTTACAGTAGTAGCATCAATCAGGTATCCATTGCACAGACGACAGGTTATATGGGCATTAATGTCCCAAAGCTTAATCTTCCTTGTTAGCATCTTTGGTGTCTGTAGAAGAAATGTATCATAAAGTAACACAGCTGTAGTCATTTGGGAATAAATTATTAACTTGTGTTAACCCAGCTTCAGACTTTTGTACAATGTACATGGATGTGAGGGCACAGTGGTGGCACTAACTTTTATGTCACTTGACAGAAACTAAACAATGCAAACCCAGCACTATTTTGCAAGCCAGTACTGCAAGAGCATAGAAAATGGCCCTTCCAGTATGCTACCAATAAATTCCTTTACCAACCAACAGACTCAGATTTCAGGTGAAACCCTACTATCCTGGTCATCAAATTCAGTCTAGTAATGACGGAAAAATCACAAAATATATAGAAAGAAAATCCTCAAAGTAATTTCAGATTCAAAAGTGTTTTGACAATTGAAAAGTCAAAGCAACTGTTTAGTTTAACCACACTTTTACGTGTTCACCTTGTGGCACTATGTTAAAGCATAATTTTGAATCTGTCTCTCAGTAATGGGGCTGCAAAGTAAACCTTCTGAAATCCCTTTTATTTAAACACAAGTTAATTGAAGATTACATTACAGATTAAAATAATTTCTTTAGCAGAGGAGCAATTGGTTGTGCTGAAACTTGAACTAGACATTTTTCCTTTCTTTTAAGCATGAGATGGCATAAGCATCTTTAAAAGAAAAAAAATATTAGAAATCAAAAATTAAGAAGCTAATTTAACTTTTTTTTTTGCAGTAACACCAATTGCTTAGAGAGAAAACACCACACAAAGCCCATACCTTTACAAATAAACTGTTAACATTTTAAACAGAGTGATTATCATTTTTTTTTTCAAAATATTTTGAAAATTGTACTGTTACCAGAACTTGACCAGCATTCTAGTTAATTAGAAGAGCAGGCTATACTTGCGTACAACCTACTATATTTGGTTCTCGCATTGCAGAAGTCACCAAATAACACTGTTTTCCTTTAAAGTGATTTTACTGTCCCCAGCTCACAAATGCTAGTTTTCATCTAGCTCAGTCTGGAAAACATTTCAGAATTTGAATACTGACACATGTTTCCAAAGTTTCAAACTGAAATATTGCAACAAGGTTGTCTGATCTTTAATTTTCTTATCTTTTTTTTTCCCTATGTTCAGTGAAGTGGTACTAAGAAAAAAGAACTATCAAACGGCAAACTTCCACACCAAACTCAACTATTCCAGTGCAGAGAAGTACCATGTGTTCCACTGTAAAATGTGGAGAAACATATCCAACACCCACCCATTTAAATCTGCTTTGTCCTATACAAAAAAGAGTAGAAAAACTTCCAGTTCTCATGGTTAAGAAGTAAACAATGGGAGAAAAAATATCAGTATTAGCTTATAGTATTTGAGATTTAGTTATAAATCTAGTAACCTCCCGTTAAAGAAGAATAAAAAAGCAGCTTAGTTTTGCAGTAGACAAAGTAACAAAATATACTCAGAACCTGAATTGCTTTCCTAACTGTAGAATTATTTTTAACCCTCTGAAAACCAAACACACATTAAATCCTGACAAGTTAGTGCATGAGGTCATCAGTTGAGTGCTACTACATGAGGTATGTAGGTTTCTGTGGTGCTGAGGAAGAGCTAGTCAACATCATTCTTCAAGAAGAGATCAAGGATTGGAACCAAGCCACCAGTTAATTTGAAAGTGGGCATGCCAAAAAACACAATTCATGACAGACAAGAGAGAAATTAGTCTAAACAGTTCCTGAAAAGGCAGTATCAATAGAACTAGGTGCTCATCTAGGCAGGAATTCAGAAGAAGGTGTTCAGGAAAACCACAGGCAGAAATCCAAGCATTTCTAAGACAGAAGAGCCAAAGACTTAAAAGTGAAATCTGAACCAAATAAGTTATTTCTTAGAAAAAAAAATTACAAATTTTCCTCCTAACAGTAGAGATAAATGCTGCCACTAGAAGAACCATCAACAAACAAACAAAAATATTCAGATGGGGTAAAATATTATGAGAACAGTGACTGAACCATACAACAAAGGCAAAAATAATACAAAATAGTAATAAAGCCCATTGTGCCAGGGGAAAAACAAATAGAAGAGGATATCAAGAATAATACAGACTCTTCCAACTTAACAGGAAAAAAAATCATACACATATTGGAATTAGAAAAATTAGTATCTTCTAGAATATCAAAAGCAAGCCCATCAAATCAACCATATTAAAATTTCATACACCTTTGAAGGAGGACAGAAAGTTGCTCTCATCAGATGTTTAAAGGATTGAAAATAAGATCTATTGGAAGAAGCAACAGAAAGGTAACATGTCTTTCCAGAGCAGTAGATACCTCAAAAGCTGATAAAACCTAGAGGAGGAGATTTCTCCAGAAGGCCCGTCCCATGCTGCTTTCTTGCAGCATGGGACAGAGGAGAAGGATCTGTTCTCTGCTCATGCAGAGATCCAGACATGGCTGCTTCAGCACACCTTGAATCTCCAATAAACAGTGCAACTTTAAAGGTCTATAAGCAAGCTAGAAGTGTCAGACTTCATTTAAGCCTCCATTTTATACAATTGTGACCCACATCCTCTAGTCTTGGGGAAAAAAAAAGAACTCAGAATGCCTCTCTTGCTTTTCAAAACAGTTAACCTGTTACAAGAGGACTTACCAAAAATTAAAAAAAATAATACAAATAAAATTTTAAAAAGGGCAGACCACTTCATATCTATTTAGAAAGGTACAGAGAAGCTCGCAAAAAATGGCATATTACCAAGCTGTCAGTTCAGTCAGATAACATAAATGCTCAGACTTTGCAGAAAACTTGAATTGCTTCCTAGAGGGAAATAGAAAAAAAAATTTAGCAGAACTAATGACACATATAAAGAAAAAATAGAGACACTAATGTTACAACCTCATATAAGAAATTAAATTCACTAATCATAGCAACTAATTAAAAACATAAAGTAATTCCATATTATGTAAAGTAATTCCACATTTATCACCTGCCTGTTCTATATCACTTCAGAGAGAAGAAAACAACATAATTGCAGATTTCACCATCAACTATTTTATTTTCTCAGTATTACTGCATTTGAAGACGATACACAGTCATACTAGGAAATACAAAGATAAGATACTTCTCACAATGCTTAAGAAGAACACTCCATGTGGATAGGTGGCTAATACAGGATGTCTTTCATGTTCCTATCTGGAATACACTATCAGCTCAGAAGGGGTACTGCTCTTGGGAAGGCATTCCAAGATGCCCATGTTTCTACAGCCTAGTGCCAGACAAAAGTTAAGCACCACTTTTATCATATAAGACAGCCAAGTTGTTATCACCCCACCCAAATCCATGCCAGTAATCTCATACAAACTGGTACTAAACAACAAGACAAGACACAATGTCCTAAACATCAAGTTTGACTAAGAATCACACAAGTTTTTTTTCTATTTTCCAGACAAATCCATATCTCCCTTAAACAACTTTAATTTGAAAAAGGGATATTTTTTTAAGATCTGAATTCAAGACGACCTCTTTCACAGAACACATCTTCACATCTCTCAATTACATGCTGAAAAGAAAGCTAAAAATTAATTCACATATCTCCAAAACAAATAATCTAACCTTATAAACAAAACCCACACAAGTCTAAATGCATATTCCCAAGAAACCATGCAGCTTAAAAGCACAGACAGATAACTGCGTAACACACTGAGCCACTTGGTCTGACCTCAGTTGACTTTGCTTTGAGCAGCTAGATTATAGAACATCTAAGTTGGAAGAGACCCATGGAACCGTCAAGTCTAAATCCTGCCCTGCACAGGACATCCCTCACGCCTTTCATGTGCCTGAGAGAGTTGTCCGAACGCTTCTTGGACTCTGTCAGGTTTGGAGCTGTGACCACTTCCCTGGGGAGCCTGTTCCAGTGCCCAACCACCCTCTGGGTGAAGAACCTTTCCCCAATACCTAACCTAAATCCTCCTTGACACAGGTCATGCCATTCCCTCAGGTCCTACTACAGGTAACCACCTCCATGAAGGACATGATCTTTTTCTAACCTGAATCATCATATGATCCTATGAATTTACCACCTCTGCCTATCCATGTAATAAACAAGCTGAACTTCTTGCTATATTGACTTATCTCAAGCTGCTGATGACTATTGAGACAATCATAGAGACACCAACTCAATGAAGTTAGCATGACTTCAACAACTAAAAATAGCTGCTGTGTAAGGAAAACACACAGAATCAGGCTGACATTTAAGTCATGCACACCAGCTTGAACCAATAATAGGAGATAAGTTTAATTTTCCAAAGCACAACCTAGGCTGATACCTTCTTACCTATATATACATAAATCAGAACAAAAAATATCTTTTAATTGACACATTTTTTTTCACAGAGACTCACTAGACTGTGGAGGATTTAGTAGGAGTAGCAAGCCTCTAAGAGACCATTTACATTTGCCTTACTTCGTAATGTGACCCATCATGCACTGTAGAAGATGCATGTTCAAGAGCTTCTGAATCTTTCACAGGATTACAATCAAGTTCAGAAGCAAAAGTTTCATCCTATCCTAGTTTTCATCCAAAAGCTACCATCCTATATAAAAAACAGGTAAATGCAGAGGACACACCAAATTCTGGACATTGACAGTATCATTTTCCAAACCTAACAGCTTATTTGAACACTGTGAACCTCAGTCTCCCTCTAGACTCCCATGGGCAGTTAGCAGACAAGAGAAAATATCATACCTTAATTTAGTTTTTAGAAAGCCAAAGCCAAGAAAGGCAAATCTCTGTAAAACAGAAATTCTTTAGTTCTTCTAAATTGAATTCTTAGTTCTTCTGAGATTTACCTGCTCAAATAGTAACCTATGACAGCAAGCAATCTCAGACTTTAAGAACTGTAGATAACCTTGAAACTTTCAATCCACTGACTGAACTGTGACACTTGATTAAAAAAATTTAAAGTTTTGTTCTGTACTTAGTCAACAAATGAACACTGGGGCCACAACACAGTTCTTCTCCCTCAAAACCATGTTGCTGGAATAGAAAGAAGTTGCTCCTCAGTCCTATAATCACAAAACTCTACTCAATGCACCAACCAACTAACCAAAAAAAAAAAAAAAAAAAAAAAAAAAAAAAAAAAAAAAAAAAAAAAAAAAAAAAAAAAAAAAAAAAAAAAACAAAACAACCCACCGAAAAAAAAATCCAGAACAAAACGTAACAAAAAACAAAGCAAAACAAACAAACAAAAAAAAAGAAAAAAAATGAAAGAAAACCCCCACAGAACAAAAACCAAAAACCCACCTAAAAAAGACATACAACACACCAAGCTGAGCCTCAACTGTTTTTATAGGAAATGTAAAATCCATACAAAGCATCCTTTCAACATGTTACATAGATTCATAGAATAATGTTATGGATATAATGAAGTAACATCTCCAAGCTTCTCTAATCCAACCTTGCACTCAAAGAAGGTCCACTTAAATAGAATTACAGAGGGCTATTCCTGGTTCATGCAGAAAATGTTCAACAATTAAGATTCCACAGCCTCTTTGGGCAACCTTTTCCAGTGCCCGACCACCCTCACTGGCAAATAAACACTCCTACTCTCTTATAGGAATCTCCTGCATTGCGACTTGGGGACAATGTCTCTCTTCCCACAAGTGTGCACCTCCAAGAGTAGTGCAGTACCATCATCTTGATTTCTGTCCACATGTTGTGTAGAAAATAGCAATAACATCTTCCCTACTTCTTTGCATCACCTTCTTTAGGAGTTTTGTAAATGCTGCATAAAGAAGAGCAACACCAAAATCTTAGTCAATAGCTGAAGAGCCACTCTTAACCCAGTTGTTAGTACTTCACCCTGGTTATTATTTTAGAGCAGAACAAATCAGCACTGCACTGCTTTAGAGAAATAGGAAGTGCCCTCTGAAGTCCTTAGAAAGAATTGAGAGATCCTGTTTTAAAAAGTGAAAAAAAGAAAATACTCTCACCAATCTTTCTCTTAAAAAGACAAAGTCTACTTTTCTAACATATACCACCACATCTGCTTGAAATGGATGGAAGAGCTGGTAGAAGAACTCCATTTTGAAGGGACAGTTTTCTTAACAGCTGCCAAGCAATGAATTATTCAAAAACAACATACCAACCATGGAGAGAGAAGAGGCACTTTCTTTCAGTGGCGGAACATGAAACCCCAAACAAACACAGAAAATGTTCCAAACATTCAGTTAACATGAAAAAAAAAGGATCATTTGCAAAAAGATTATTATTTCTTCATCTTGGTTCCAACTGACATTCTTTTAAACCACACTGCTGGCACGGTGTCAGCCTCTCACTGTCTGTATGTCTTAACAAAACACCAAAAAGGGAGTGAGGGCATTTACAAAATCTGGAGTAGATTCCTAATTAAAAAACAAGCAAACAAACAAACCCACCCACACACAAAATCATGAGAGGCTGAAAGGGGACAAGCACATTTCCGAAAGTCAGCTTGTTTTGTTTGTGCTTCATCCCCTTTGTCCACTAAGGCAGTGCTCTCTTAAGATGATCAAGCAAAAAGTTAAGCAACATATTACAGGCCTCTCCACTAAAACTGGTCAGATAAACCTGCTTATCTCAGCACAAGCATTCACATTTCAGAGAGATGTCAGCACTGAAACTATGATTTGTGCAAGATTACAGGGAGGATCAGCAGAGGGACTCCTCAGAAGTACAGCCTTATCATTTATATAGAAACCAGTCCAGAACATTTTGGCCTACATGAGGCATACCTCTTAAAACAGCATTTCTTTTCAGAGTCTGCCATCCAGAGACCTGAAAAGACAGAAAAATAGTCTGAAAGTTAACATCCAAAATTCCTCAAAATACAGCTGCCACAAAGAAATACTCAGGTCGCTAAGTTTACCTAATTTAGGTATTTAGGTATCTCTGTTAATTTAAGAGAACTGTGAGGCAGACGCACTTGTAAGCAAGAAAAGGGGGAAAAATTTGATCCTCAGGAAAAAGGAAAAAAAAAGATTTAACACAATCTCCTACTAGACAAGGAAAATTGCTCAAAAAAGAAATCCTAAGAAGTCCTGTTATCATGTGATGGAAAAATAAAAAGAAATTCATTATCTTAAAAAATGATAGGGAAAAAACCAAAATAAATAAGCAGATTTCTTTAACAACAACCGATGGACTAGAAAGTCTTTAAGAAAAGAAAACATTTTGAATTGAAGATGCACATTTAGACAAGCAGCATTCTCAGTTTTCAAGCTATGTTTTCAAGTAATCTGCTCTTTGCGTCTTAATCGTCCAAAATCCTTTCAAGGAAATAACTAGCATTTCCAGAATCTCTTTGTATTTGCCAGAATAAAAGTATATTTTTAAAAATAATAAAAAATAAGATCTTCATTCTTTGGCTAAAGGTGACACAATCTCACATAAATAGGTAAGTTTGACAGAAGAAGCAATTTTTCTTATTGATTCACTGAGGGAAGATTCAGCTGTTACAATGACAGGTAAAGAGTACTAGTAGTTCTATCTTCCTGCTGCAAAAATTCAAAGGCATAGCCTGTAGTTAGTGATTTTGCTGCTATATTGCTAAGGGAATTATGAAAACAATGACAAAACAAGCTGTTAATGATAGCACTTGACAAAAACTTTAGAACAATGCCAATAAAAGTCTCTTTGCAGTTCCACTGTGAACTTCTTTGATTAGATTAAAAATAAAAAATTATTATTATCTGAAAGCAATGCAGAGTTGCAGGAGATGCTCTTTTGTTGGAATCCACAAAAAAAGATCCCCATTCAGGAAACAAAGCGTCTCATAGAGTAGAATAAACTCCTTAAGACTTTGTTATTTAAAAGATCTATTTTTCCATCAAAATGCAAAAACCAAAACAATTACTCTGCTTCTAAAGAAACCAGCTCAGAGGCTTGTCACAACTCCAAAAGCACATCACAACATGAACTCAAGTAACAAGTCTTCCAAAAGGCCTTGTCCTGCATCTTCCCTCACTGCAGCTGGAAGAGGACAAGGTTACATTTTGGTTCATGGAAAGTGATGCTCAATTTCTGAGAAAAAAACCCAATAACCAAATTAGTCCTACATCATCAGCATATTCTTCCAGTTCTATTTACAGGTTCATAGTGACGCATTATGAAAGACAACAACAAGGAAATTCAGTTCCTTTATAGATCTAGACGATTGCTGGAGACTGGGAAAGTGGATCATTGTACTGATCTTGTAGTAAGTTAGAAGTGAAGAAGTGAGTACTAATTAATACTCTCTTCAAAGGATTTCTTAAGTGCTGTGATTGGTATTAATAACTTGTCAGAGTATCAAACTGTAACTGGTTTTTTGTACCACCTAGCTTTGTGGTACAACAAGACAGGAAGTTATTCTTACCAGGTACAAATTCAGAACTGAAGAGAATGGCAGATTTACAAACCATTACAACTTAGCCCTATTTTAACAGAATAGGCATACATATATTTCTTTCGCTGAAACATAGCACTATACTGTTACTTCATTAAAAAACAGAAGGATAATGTTCCCAGTGGGGAAACCCTAAGAAAACCAGCTAAATGAAGCAAATAACAACTATTTAGCTGACTAATTTTCCTAAAAGGTACTAAAGTCATCCAGCACCGGAATCTGAATGAAAACTGTACTGGAAGCAACAGGCGTACCTCAATTGACAAGGATGTGTATTTAACGTGAAAGTTGCAGCTCTAAGAACAAAGCATTACAATAGAATTTTGTTCTGATTCAAAACTAAGTGTGGAAAAGAAAAATTTCAACTCTGATGCTTGTAATTGTGTGGCTTACATTGGGCATAAGCATCTCACTTCTCTGAGATCACGAAAGTCATCCATCTCACTCAGTACACAAACCTAGATTTTCAATGAGCTGATTTGAAGTGCAGAAAAATAATATAGCCCTTACTATGACAATCAGTTTCATTCTTCTCAAAGATGACAAAAAAAATTGATAAACTAACATTTTATCTATTAATTTAAATATTAACATTACATTCTGAAATACTATTATGTATGTTCAATTTTAGTAGCTGTTTCTGTCTAATTCACAAACTATACTAGCTGAACAGGCCTGGAAACACCTTCTTCCATAAAGACAGAATTAAAAAATGGCTCCTAATATTGTGAGCACAACCATGTAATGGAAGAATTAATGAAATTAGTTATTAGAACTAAGTCTAATTTACAATTCCATCACAATGCAAGGAAAGTGTTGTATGGTCATGAAGAGATACAAGCACAGAATTTCTCTTTTTCAATTATCTGTATTAAAACAAAAATAATTGTTATTATAATCAGTTGCAATAGAAAGACAGAGGTTGTTAATTACTGAACAAAAAGACCTCTGTTCCATAAGGAAACTTATTTAAAAGTAACTTATTAAAATAATATGGTGACCTGCAACAGATAAAGAGTAACAGCTACATGAAATTCATTAAAAAGCCTCAGCGGCTTAAAATGAAGTACCTTTCTCTTGTACAAGTTTTTTCATTGTAGAGTAAGATATTTACCAGTCAGACATTTACTTCAAGAGAAATGGAGAAGCAGTCATAGTCCTACCTCCATTGCTAGAAATGTCAATACAGCCTGTACAGTATTCTGAAGAAGGATGAGGATATTACCTCAGGTAAGCAACTTAGGATGCAGGACATGATTTCAAGAGATGGACAGACAAAGAAAACAGTACTGTGGTTGGTTTTGCTTCAGATACCAAAGTTTTTTATTTCAACTGTTGTCAGATATATGTTGAACCTTTACTTTGAAACAATATATAAGCAACTTATAAAAGAGCACAGTGACTTCAAACACTAGCAGAGAGGAGTTTGTGCTGGATTTAGCAAAATGGCATAACAGAAAATACTTTGGTTTTTAACATGAGTTTTAAAATATTGTAAGCTCCAATAAAACTCTTTCATGTTGTGTTTGCAAAGTATAGTTTCATAAAAGAGACTACTAGAAACAAACCTTTCTGTTGAGCAGAAATAAATTAAAGATTTAAATTTGCTGTAGCAAGCTTAGTTATGAGTACATGAGCAGATTTTTATGACTTAATTCAAGAGAATAATTACATGCTAAGGCAGAAAACATATCCATGTACTTTTTTAGCATCATGCCAGCAATTTTTGACATCTCAGTGGAATTGCTCACAAGTGGTTTTTCTCATTCCTGAGAAATGACACCAGTTTTTTCTTATTCCACGAGATGGCACCAGTACTCTATCTTCAATAAAGCAGGTAGCTATATCTTAATAACTGAGCACAGAAAAAAACCCAGGATTGATCTGAAACAGAAAAAAATGAATTAAAACAACTCATTCACCATCATTTTCATGATGAAGACTTCCAAATCCTGCTGTGTCCCTGGCAGCCATCCAGACTCACTTGGTCACCCCAACAGTCAGTCAGTTCCGCCCATCTCCCCCTTAACAGACACACACGCCTCTCCAGCTGCTCTTCACAGAACTTGTGCTCTAGACCCTTTCACCAGCTCCTTTTCCCTTCCCTGGACTTGCTCCAGCACCTCAAAGTCCTTCCCATCATGAGAGGTCCAGAACTGAACACAGAACTTGAGGTGTGGCCTCACTAGTGACAAGTGTAAGGGGACAATCACTGCTCTGGTCTCACTGACCACACTATTCCTGATACAGGCCAGGATGCCTTCTTGGCCATCCGGGCACACCCTTGGCTCATGTCCAGTTGCTGTCGACCAGCACTCCCAGGTCCTTTTCTGCTGGAAAGTTTTCCAACCACTTTGCCCCAACCTGTAGCACTGCATGGTGTTGTTTTGATCCAAGGGTAGGACATGGCACTGGGTCTTGTTCAGTCTTGTATCACTGGCCTCAGCCTACCAATCCATCCTGTCCAGACAGCCCTGCAGAGCCTTCCTGCCCTCCAGATCAACACATCCACCCAATCTAGTGTTATCTGCAGGCTGACTGAAGCAGCACTTGATCCCCTGACACAGGCTGTTGATAAAAACATTAATTAGAACTGGCCCAAATACTGAGACCTTGGGAACACCACCTGTGACCAACAGCCAGTTGGATTTAGTTCCATAGGCTTGGCCATCCAGAGAGCTTTTCACCCAGCAAAGACTGCACTTGCCAAGCCCTAAGCAGCCAGTTTCTACAGACACTGTAGGAATTGGTGCCAAAGACTCTACTAAAGTTCATATAAACAAGATAAGCCCTTCCCTTATTGACTAAGCAGGTCACCTTGTCACTGAAGGAGATCAGGTCAGTCAATCAAGATTAAAAACTAGGTCAATACAAGGCCTATATAAAAGTTATCAGAATTCATTTACCTTTCATGAAGTGATTAGGAAGAAAATCACCATGCCTTCCTAATTCAGCTACCATCCACATCTATTTTATTTTTATGTATCCCAGTACTTGGGAAGGACAAGGTGGATGTGGATGTTGGGACATTTCACTGCTCCTTAATAAACTAGGAACTTGCTTTAGCAGGGATAACTATATAAGATGCAGAAAAAATATGGATTTCTTCCCAGTAACTTGTATTACTGCATGCTTGTGTCAGAGGTCCCTTCCAAGAATAATGCTTACCAAACACATTCACAAACCCTGAGAACACAACTAAGCAAAAGGGAAGGTGATAGTAGAAGAAAAACTGGAGCAGTACTTAAAGCTCTAGACTATCACATTTTTCTTCCTGAAATACTCCCCAAGTCTAAGTTTATTTATTTCAAAACCAGTTTAGAGGAATTAAAAAAAGGGGGAAAAAATCCCAGAAAACCAACCAAGGACAAAAACCCCACCTTATTTTGCA